ACGTATATTCAACCAGCCTTGAGACCCCGGGATAAAACCCACTTGGTCATGGTGTATAATTTGTTTGATGTGTTGCTGGATTCTGTTTGTTAGGATCTTGTTGAATATTTTTGCATCAATATTCATTAGTGATACTGGTCTATAATTTTCTTTTCTTGTCGGGTCTTGTCCTGGTTTGGAGATCAAGATGGTGTTTGCTTCATAGAATATGTTGGGTAGTATTCCTTTTTTTCCCCTATATTTTGGAAAAGGTTAAGTAATATAGGCATTAGTTCTTTAAAGGTTTGGTAGAACTCTTACGTGAAGCCATCTGGTCTCAGGCTTTTCTTTTTAGGGAGATTTTGTATACTTGATGTTATTTCAGAACTTGATATAGGCCTGTTCAACATTTCCACTTCATTCTGGTTAAGCCTTGGAAGGTGGTGTGCTTCCAAGTATTGGTCAATTTCCTTCAAACTTTCATATTTCTGAGAATAAAGTTTCTTGTAATATTCATTAAGGATTTTTTGAATTTCTGGGGGTCTGTTGTTATTTCATCTTTACCATTTCTAATTGGTAAAATTAGAGATTTTACTCTTTTTTTTCCTGGTTAGATTGGCCAAAGATTTATCTATTTTATTGACCTTTTCAAAAAACCAACTTTTTGATTTATTGATCTGTTGTATAATTCTTTTGTTTACAATTTTATTTAATTCTGCTTTCATTTTGGTTATTTCTTTTCTTCTGCTGGGTTTGGGATTGGAATGTTCTTCCTTTTCCAGTCACTTGAGATGTCCCATTATGTTGTTAACTTTCTTTCTTTCCATTCTCTTGAGGAAGGCTTGCAGTGCTATAAATTTCCCTCTGAGAACTGCCTTTGCAGTATCCCAGAGGTTCTGATAATTTGTGTCTTCATTATCATTTTGTTCTAAAAATTTTCTAGTTTCTTTCTTAATCTCGTCTCTGACCCACCTATCATTCAGCATAAGGTTGTTTAGCTTCCATGTTTTTGTATGAATCAGCAGATTCCTGTTGTTACTTAGTTCAACTTTTATTCCATGATGGTCTGAGAAGATGCAACAAATAATTTCTATTCTTATAAATTTGCTGAGGTTAGACTTGTGACCTAAGCTGTGGTTGATTTTGGAGTATGTTCCATGGGCTGATGAGAAAAATGTGTATTCAATTTTGTTAGGATTAAATGTTC